CTTAAGAGTCAAGCACTGTCTCTTCCTTTCTATACCCACATTCTGGAATTCTTAATTAAGCAATTCAATCAATTAAGGTGTGGTTAACTGAGATTTTACTGTGTAGTATTCCCTAGAGTATCCGGTTCTTACAAAATCTCAAAGATAGAGGGATTAACTCTTAACAATATTCTAAAAAGCCTAAAGGAAATCACATACCAAGTTTTGGACTAATCAGCCAAACTAAAACATCAAGTTTTTTTACTTTGGAATAAGAGTACCATTGGTTAATTAATACTGACAAGCTATTATAAATGTTCAAGTAATTTTGAAAAACATAGAAAAATAAAAAGTGGAATTAAATTAATTACAATGATTGGGTATTAGGATGCAGTTTATTAGAGGTCCCCAAATTTTTCCTGATAAAGTGCCACTTATAATTTTTCCAGTTTTATGCCTTTAGAGGTAGAATAGTGAGTACACAAGTCAAGAAAATAGCTCTAAGCTGTGTGGCCTTCTTTACATGAAACTGCCTGGAACTATGGAGGAGGCACATTTGGAAACAATCAGGTACAAATGAGTAGTCTATCACAGAAAATGATTTTTAATAAAATATTTTAATGAAAAAAAAATTAGGTTTATTTTTCCCTGAAGAATTCATTTGTATTTTCTAGGTCATTACTTATGTATAAGACTTTATTCATCTCTCAGGTTCACAAAATTCAGTGCCTCCATACTATTCCTTACTAGCAAATATCTAGTAATACGTACTTTACCACTTAAATAAATTTACCTGGCCAGCCAACCACAAATCTGTACACCAACTTCCTCCTCTGACTCAAGGAAAGCTTGTGAAAAATATCTGATTCATGATTTAGAAAAGAAACTTAAGGTATTATTATTAAAAATGTGAAGAAAATTCACAATGCAAACATAAAAAATCCTAGTTGAGAATTTCGAAGTTCACTTCTATAACTCTGTGCCTAAAACAGCGCCTGGCACATAAAACACATTCAATAAATATTGAACTGAACCAAAGAAGGGAAGACAGACGCTGTAAAACTGCATTGTAAAACTGCAGTTAGGTCGATGCCACGTCCGGCAATCGGCCAAGACAGGAGTGTAGTATACAGGAACGAGAAAAGGCATGTCAGATTAGATGGGCCCAAGAGGAAGGTCCAAAAGTAACAAAACAAAAAGGGGAAACTAATCGGTATTCAAAACCACCATATGTTCATGCACTAACGAGACGAACAATCCAAAGAGGCCTACACCGATCAGCCCTCCCATACAAACTCCCGGGGGGGGAGGATGGCACTGTAGGTAAGGATGCTGTAGTGCTTAACGCCAGCACATTACAGATATCCAACAGTTGTTAGCAACTCACTAACAACTCAAATGTGCCAAAGGAAATTTCTCCTTGAAGTAAAAAATACGTGTCAGAAATATAACCAGATCATATAAGGCAGTATTTTTAAAAGGGTGGTCCACAAACCACATCCATCAGAATCACTAGAGACATTATTAAAATGCACACTTTCAAATCCCAGCCAAGACCTACAATATCAGAATGGGGAAGGGGAAAAACGGAAGGGGAGCACTAAAAATCTGCTCGTCTAACAAGATCAGAGGTGATGTACACTAAAGTTTAAGGCCTTTGATATAAAATATCTATAACTCTATGTGCTAGTAAGGGAAAGGGATTGCTTCTTTCTACTCCTGACTTTCCTCTCTTTCCACTGTTCCTGTATTTCCTAAAGATCTGTGTTCCTATCCTCTTACTTTCACTAATTAGCCATTCTTCCTAGTTTTAATACAGTATTTGGAAGATTCTCTCCCACTCTCTTGTGCATAGCCAATTCCTAAACTAAAATACAATAAATTTTTCTGCATTGGAAATAATCTACTATGCTGTGTATATAAAACCAATTCTGATTTAAACAAATATCAAACAAACTTGGTAACCAATGAACCATTTCATTTTTAATTCAAGTCTATTTGGATCTAGAAATTCAACATTATTAAACAATATTACTTAGAGACGATAAACCATATCTGGTCTCTACTCACTGACAATACCTTGCCTACTTGAGTAGTTTCTTTCAAGGTCATGTTGTAAGAGTCGACCAGGGAATGATGGTGTTTCTTTATGTAGCTTGAATTCAACCTAAAAAACATTATTTAAGGAAAAAATATTTGGAGAAGAATTTAACAATAAGTAATGAAGATAATTATAAAATAACATACAATAACTGATATACACTACAACACAGATGAACCTTGAAACCATCATGCTAATTGGAAGAAGTCAGACACAAAATGCCACATACTCTATGATTCTATTTATGAAATATCGCTAATAGGAAAATCTATAGAGACACAAAGCAGATTTGTGGCTACCGGGGGGGTGGCGGAGGGGGAATGGGAAGTGACTGCATAATGGGTACAGGGACTCCCTTGGGGTGACAAAAAGTTCTAGAACTAGATAGTAGTGATGGCTGCACAACATTGTGAGTGTATTGAATGCCACTGATTTGTACAATTTAAAATGGTTAAAATGGTAAATTTTATGTTTTACGCATTTTTTACCACACACACACAAAAAATCAGAGTCAATCTCATGAGGTCAAATGAAACCATCCTCCAATCTGAGGCACTCCTAATTCCTCCATACCCTCACCACAAATACAGTGAATAAAAGAATCATTTTCTCAAAAACAAAAGCAAAAACATACAATAGAAACCAAATTCTATTAAGAAAAAAATCACTTGTTTTTATCACTAGGATTCCTTTAAGAGTCCAATTATAACATAATAAAATTGGATATCTACACCCTATGAGAAGAGTTTTCTCCAAATTGATTTTAAATTATTTGATGGGGGACTGAGAAAAAAAACCAAAACAACTTCTCATGACTAGCCACAAAAAAAAAAACCCTAAATACATATCTTAAAAGAATTATGACGCTTCTGATTCATCCATACTATAAACATTCCAATAGCATTATATCCTTATGATTAGGATTAGGATTAGTCTTATGATTAGCTAAAGGCATTTTCTCAGAACATATGTCCACACAAGAGGAAATGAACGGTTTGGAAAGAACTTGGATGAGGCACATAGTTCCTAGAAACACATTCTAATGGTAGAATAGGATTTGTCCAGTGAAATCAATTAGCAAAGCTTTGGAGGGAATCCATTATGTCCAATTATAATAAAGAATATTTTCAATTTCTTTATTTGCTATTTATTTATTTGTTCTATATATGCTACTTATTTATTAATTTTTATTATTTGCTGTTTATACGCTATTTATTCAAGATGACCAAATGGTCTGTTTTCCACGTGTTCATTTTCATATACTTCATGTAATCAACTGCTGCCTCTTTGACTAATGGTGTCCTTTGATCCACCCTCCTCACGCCCCTCCTCACGCCCCTCCTTACGCCCCTCCTTTCATGCTGTTCCCTGTAAACTCTGCCCTTCACTATAGAGCTCCTCCAGTGGCATCTATTTAACAATTTTCTTAGGAAAAAAACTGAGTTGTGATGGTTGGAGGAGTCCAACTTGGACAAAGGAGAAAAAGCTGTGTTGTGTCTTGAGACACAGTTGTATAGGAGGTGCGTGAGTATGTTTGAGCACTGAGGTGAAACAGGAGGGAAAGAAAAACACGTGTATCTAAAAAATCAAGTCAAAAGTCAGAAATTATGTAAATGCCAGGGATATTATGGGCAAATTGGGAAAAGAGAATCTCATGATCATATTTTAACTTCTAAAGAGCATTAAGCCTAATATATTTCCACTAATAATCTATTTTTCTTCTCTGATTTTAAATGGGATGTGTAGATATGTTCCCCCAAATTATTATATTTTATCTACTATAAGATTCCATCAGTAGTAAGACATACCATCATTTTACCCACTACTAAGAAAGAAGAAACTTTCCCAATTAAACTATTATGTGCCATCAATTTTAAGAAGGATCCTCATTTAAGAAATGTTAAAAAAACAAAAATAAAAACAAAAAACCTTACCTCTTGTAATTGGTGAAATAAGATTCAGTTCTTAAAAAAGGGTTTTTGGTTTTACGTAGGCAGAACATAAAAATTAGCTTCATACTGGAGACCAAAGTAAATACACTTAAAATGTCCAAGTCAGACTCTACTCTTTATATCATACTATTTGTGTAGAATACAAAACAACTTATCTTCAATATAAATACAAATCTGCTGAAATCTTACTTTGTTTTTTTCAGGAAGCGATGATGTTTGAATAACCAGATGAAGCCCACAGTTCACCTGCAATGTAAAAATTAAACCATAAAATATGCTCTTAACTTAAACACACATACACACACACATTCTTCCCCAAAATAATACAGATAAAGACATAACAAAAAATTAGAATAAAACAGAATGCTTGCTTTTCTCTGTTTCTGGTAAATTACCATGTTCTGAGGATTTGCTGAAAACAATAAAATTGCAACCAAGAATTAAAAGGTTTCACTGTGATTCATTTTCCAAAATGTCTGCAGCAATTTAACCCTCTACTCATCACGTCAGGCTTTTGACATTGCCATTTCAGGTCTAAGTAAATATCTCAATGGGACAAGTGAAGGAGGTGGGAGTGTCTGTTAATAATAAATTCTTTCCTTAGTTAAAAAAAAAAGAAAAGAAAAGAAAAAGAAATTGACTGGTTAAAGGAATTTAAATGAACCTGAGCCTTTCACAGCAGACCAGCTCCACCTTCCGGGAAGCCAAGATCCTGGACAAGACTTTGAATACCCATCATACAATGTTAAATGCCCTCCAAGTGCCTTGGTCAGTCCACGAATCTCAAGCCTCGGTCAGACAATAGCTTGAGTAGACTCAGCGGTCCTGGTCCCAATATTACAGCCCATCACCTAGGACAAAGACGCCAGTCAGAAAGGACGATTCGAATGGGAAAAAAGAGAAAGCAGGAGACCCAACCTACGTTGTTCGTAGCCCGGCCAGAAACAGAGCGGTATTTCCCGGGAATCATGGTAGGAGACAGTCCAAGATCTGTGGGATCTGCCTTAGAAGCGACGCTACAGCAGAAATTCAGAGGCCGAAAGGGGTCATCTCCCAGGTAACCCGCTCAGGGGTTACCATGGAAACTACCATTTCCGGTCTGGTCCTCTCCCAAATCAACCGGCCAACACAGCCGTTAGCGCATCTGGCTATATTTGGGGGCAGCCGGTGCGTCAGCACGTCCTCGTTCTGTTTTCCTGGCCTCATAAAAACAGAGTGGGAGGACGAGGAGGAGAAGACCGGGAAGAGGCTGGCCACCTCGGTAGCCATGACAACCACCACTTCCGGCTCGTTCCTCTTTACGGCCCACCTCGGCTCGGGCCGCGCGAAATTCGTATCCTGCTGCCTGCGGCCGGCTGCTCTCTGGGGAAAACTGCGACGAGGACGGGGAGGAAGCTATCAGAGACTCGGGTACCGTCGCCTGTGGGGCCCCAGGTCGGCGTTTCCGGGGGCCGGAGCCAGGGCGAGGAAAGCGGCCCGACGCGGCGGGGACGGGGCAAGGGAGGACCGCCTCCCCCGGCCGCGGCTCGGAGCGCGGGAGTGCGGGGGGCTGGGGATCCCGGCTCGGCCGCCGTCCTGCCGGCCCGCCGCGTGGCCCCCCTCTGCGGCAACACCCCCAAGTCCGGGAAGTCGCTGTTCCGCTTCCCTAAGGACCGAGCCGTGCGGCGGCTGCCGCTCCACTGCGTGCCGGGCAGTGAGCCCTCGCTCATCTGCTCGGACCGCTTGGCTCCCGCCTGCTTTGACGTCTCCGGTTGTCCAGAAGAGCCTGCCTTCTCGCAGCGCCCGAGGCTCGTAGCAGGCGCCGTGCCCACCGTGCACAGGGGCCTCCTCAGCACCCAAGGCGGAAGAAGAGGGAGACCGAGCAGGCGGCCTCCCTTTAAGCATTGATTACACTTATTTTGTATCTGGTCACTACCATCTTCTTCCCCACTTCCCATCTTAAAGAAAACTTCCTAGCCTTCTTTGAGATAATCAAACTTCAGCCCTATCGCCATTACACAGGTTAGGTTATGACTCAATTGGATCTAAAGAGTGTTCATTTCCAGAGATGGGAAGAGTTCACCAAGAAGTGAAGTGAACTGATATTTTGGCTTTTAAAGATTTTATTTTTTCCTTTTTCTCCCCAAAGACCCCCGGTACATAGTTGTATATTCTTCGTTGTGGGTCCTTCTAGTTGTGGCATGTAGGACGCTGCCTCAGCATCGTTTGATGAGCAGTGTCATGTCCGCGCCCAGGATTTGAACCAACGAAACACTGGGCCACCTGCAGCAGAGCACGCAAACTTAACCACTCGGCCACGGGGCCAGCCCCCTACAACCCATTTAGAATTGATTTTTGTGTATGATATGAGATAGAATTTAAGTTTCATTTTTTCCCAGATATACTCAATTGATTCAGCATCTTTTATTGAAAAGACTGGCATTTCCTCATCACCTTGCAGTGTTAACTTTGTCATTGTATGGGAGGCAAACTTTTCCTTCTACCCTTCTTGGCTCTTTGGCTGGTCTGGTAATCAAGTTGACATAAGACAGGTGAACAGGAGAAAAACAAATTTAATTACACACATAGAGAAACCCCATAAGAATATGAGACATAGGGCAAGTCAGGCAGTTGGGGCTTTTATGCCATCCTGAGCTGAGGAATGGGATAGTGGCCTGGGACTTCAAAGGGGAGGAGGGTAATTCACAGGACAATAAGTAGGGTAGATGTTTGGTAATTAGATGTTTGCCCTGCCATACAGATAGGTCATTCAGATAAAAAGTTCTGTCTGAGGGCCAGCCCAGTTGCATAGTGGTTAACTTCACATGCTCTGCTTTGGTGGCCCAGGGTTCACTGGTTCAGATCCTGGGCATGGACCTATGCACTGCTTATCAAGCCATGCTGTGGCACACGTCCCACATATAAAGTAGAGGAAGATGGTCATGGATGTTAACTCAGGACCAGTCTTCCTCAAAAACAAAAGCAAAAAAAAAAAGAAAAGTTCTCTCTGGTAATAGTTCTCTTTCTGGGCCAGGGCCCCTATCTAAATTCTTTTAAGTGTCAAGGGAGAGGTAAAAGTTTTTCTTGAATTGGCTAGGTCTTGATTGCCTTCAACTCTAAATAGTCCACATGCCAAAGTGGCACATTTTGGGGAGGCTTGTTCTGAACCCCTTCATCATAAGTCGTGTCAGTATACATATAAGGCTATTTCCACATTCTGTTCTGTTCTGTTTGTCTGTTTGCCTATCCTTGTATCATTATCACAGTGTCTTAATTACTGTAGTTTAAATTAAGAATTAATATCCATTGATTAACTCATCTTATTCATTTTCATGGATGTCTTGGCTATTTGCGGCTATTTAAATTTCCATATATATTTTAAAATTGGCTTTTCAATTTCTACAAATTATCTACTGATATTTTGATTGAGATTGCACTAAATTTATAAATAAATGTGTGGAGAAAGGGCATATTGACAATATTGATTCTTCCAATCCATGAACATAGGGTATCCTTCCGTTTATTTGGGTTTTTGCATTTCTCTTAAAAACATTTTATGGCATTCCATTTAGAGATCTTATACATCTTTGATTAGATTTATTCCTATTTGATTTTGCTATTATAAATAATAATATTTAAAATTTTATTTTCTATAAATATATGTAGATAAATTGATTTTTATTGACCTTTTATCGAGAAACCTTGTTAAACTCATTTATTAATTCCAATAATTTATAGATTCTTTGGGACTTCCTACATGTTTAAAAAATATCTGCAAATAGTTTTTGATGTTCATGCTTTATCTTATTCTTCCTATTGCACTAGCTAGAACCTCCAGGACAGTGTGGGGAACATGGGAGTGATGGGGAATCCTTTCCTCATTTCCATTTTCAGAGGGAAAGTCCTTAATATTTCACCATTTTATATGATTTCTGCTATAGTTTTTTTTGTAGCTGCTGTTTATCATAAAAAGAAATATTCCTCTTTATTCCTAGTTTTTGCTACAGATTTAAATCATAAATGATGTTGAATTTTATCAAATGCTTTTTCTGAATCTATTAATGGTCATATATTTTGTTTATTATTCTGTTAATGTGGTGAAATGTATGCCTGGTTTTGAGATATAGAATCAAACTTCCAAGGCTGAAGTAAACCCAATTTGGCCAAGGTGTATTATTCTTTTTTGATGTTGCTTAATATAATTTGCTAATATTATAGTTAGGATTTTTTCGTCTGTGTTTATGAGCAAAATTGGTCTATAATTTTTCTTTCTTGAAATGCTTTCTCAGGTTTTAGTATCAAGATTATGCTGGGGCTGGCTTGGTGGCACAGTGGTTAAGTTTGCATGTTCTGCTCTGGCAGCCCAGGGTTCACCAGTTTGGATCCCAGGTATGGACCTACGCACTGCTTATCAAGCCACACTGTGGCAGGGATCCCACATATAAAGCAGAGGAAGATGGCGATGGGTGTTAGGTCAGGGCCAATCTTCCTCAGCAAAAAGAGGAGGATTGGCGGTGGATGTTAGCTCAGGGCTAATCTCCCTCAAAAAAAAAAAGACAATGCTGCCCAATTTGGAGTCATTCCCTCTTTTATAATTCTCTGGAAAAGTTTCTATAAATTGTCATTATATATTCACTAATAAATTTGGTATTAATATTTGGTAGAATTCACTGAAAAAGACATCTCATCCTGGAGTTTTCCTTGTGGGAAGATTTTTAATTATGGATTCAATTTTTAAAATAGTTGTAGGGTTATTCAGAGTTTTTTGTTTCTGTTTCCATTTTGATAAATTTTTCTAAAATTTTGTCAGTTTAATATAAGTTTTCAAATATATTGACAAAATTATTCAAGATAATCTTTTACCTTTTAAAGTTCTGTATGATCTGTAGTAATTGTTGCTTTTTCAGTCTATTTTTCCCATGATCTGCTTCACCAGGTGTTTATTTATTTTTATTGATCTTTTCAAAGAACGAGCTTTGCCTTTTTGATCTCTCTGGATGGTTGTTGGGGTTTTTTGTGTGTAAAGAAGATTGTTGCTGAGCTAACATCTGTGCCAATCTTCCTCTGTTTTATGTGGGATGCCACCATGGTTGGATGAGGGGTGCTAGTCTGTGCCCAGGATCCAAGCCTGCGAACCCTGGGCTGCCTACTTAACCACCTAAGAGGAGTGTGCAACTTAACCACTACACAACCGCACCAGCCCTGCTCTCTGGTATTTTTTTTCATGTATTTCTATTTTTTATTATTTCCTTCCCTCTACTTATTTTTTTCAGCTTTTATTTTCTCCTTGATAGGTTAGATTTATACATTACTGAGCTAAATGATTAACATGAACCTTTTCATATCTGTTTTTCTATTAAGCAAACTTATTAAAAAGTGAAAACTTCACTTAAACACTAGGATATCCTTACATATTCAGATGTGCTATTTCACACAAGAATACTTTATAAATAACTAACTTGCTTATGTGAAGACTAAACATTGAATTATCAAATAGTTCAAATTTTGCCCAAGTGCTTAAATTTTTTTAAAGATTTTCAGTATTTTTTGAATTATTTTTTGAGGCTTAATTTTTTTAGAGCAGTTTTAGGTTCATAGCAAAATTGAGGGGAAGTTAGAGAGATTTCCCGTATACTGCCTCCCCCACACATGCATAACCTCTCCCACAATCAACATCCCACCAGAGGGTACGTTTGTTACAACTGATGAGCCCACGTTGACACATCATTATCACCCAAAGTCTGCAGTCTGCGTTACATTTCACTCTTGGTCCCTCTACTTTTAAATTTTTTATTTCCTATTCTTCCTTTAACTTCTTGAAAGTGAAATTAGATCACTGATTTTCAGAATTTTCATAGAGAATGTCAGATGGGGCAGCTGTTTCACAGGCTTATTTTCCGAATGTAGAATTCGCTAGAGTGGTATTGTTAGAGGAAAAACTGACTCCTGAAATGGGGATACAGTAGAAACATTTTGTGAAATACTTTTTTGCATGATGTTAATGATTCCAACCTAAAATAATCAAGCCTAATTAATTTTTCTATACTATTATGTGTATTTAAGACTATAAATTCCTTCTAAGTGTGGTATTAACTGAATCCCACAAGTTTTGGATATAGGATATTTTTATTATTTAGTGTAAAAATATCTTCTAATTTCCACTTAGTTTTATCTCAATTCATGGATTGTTTAGTACTATATTTGAAAATTTCCAAACATATGAGCGTTTTATAATTATATTTTTGTCACAGATGTCTAGGTTAAAGAATATACAACATATGGATTGTGGCCAGAGAATATACAACATATGAATTTAATCTTCAAATTTATTGAAACTTGTATTGGGTCAGTAACAGAGGTCAGTTTTTGTAAATGTTCTGTATGCACTGGAGATGGATGTGTGCTCTGCAGTTGGGTACACTGTTCCATATATGTCTAGTAATCATGTTCTTTAAATTTCCTATATCCTTATGGAACTTTTGTCTGCTTATTGTATTAGTTATGAGAGAGGCATGTTTAAAATCTTCCACCAATTTTGTGTTGTGTATTTTGGAACTATGTTATTAGTGATATCACGCTAATACTATAGCAACGCTAGCTTTCTTTAGGTTAGTGTTAGCATAGTACATCCTTTTACTTTAAATCTTTCTATATCCTTCAGAGTTTAGACATTTCTCTGTTTTGTCGTTGCCCATTTGAGCAAAATGTACTTTTTTCCTCTAGCTGAGTACTCCTAAGGTTTTCCTTTGTTTTCCAGTTTTACTGTAATGTGCATAGGTACAGTTTTGTTTGTTTCTATCTTGACAAATACAAATAGTACTTTTGCAAAACCATGTCTTAATGCCTTCTATCTATTTTGGCAAATTTTCAGATGTTATTTGTTCAGATATTGCTTCTGTCCCATTTCTCTCTCCTTTCCTCTGGGACTACAATTAATAGTGTATGTTATACTTTTTCATCATATCCACCAAGTCTCTTATGATCTTTTCTATATTTTTCATCCTTTTTTCTCTCTCTGCCTCATTCTAAATATTTTCTTTTGAGTCATGTTCCAGTTGATTAACACATATCTGGAAATTCTGCCTCTTAACCTTGTAATATGAAGAAGTAATCAGATATGTGCACAAAAGATTTATGTTCAAAGATTTCCAATAATATGGTTTGTTTTAATAAATTAGTATATCTGTACAATAGAACATGTACAGCCATGAAAATTATGACTTAGAATATTTAATAACATACAAATATGACATATATATTAAAGGGGAAAATTAGATTATAAAACATATCATCCCAATTTTTTTTAATGCATAGAAAAAGACAAAAAAATGTACCAAAATATAAATTTGTTAGCTATGGATGATGAGATTATGGCTAGTTTTTAGGATTTTTTTTTTTTGCTTCTCTTTATGGTACCTATTTTACTCAATGATATAACATATTGTTATAAAGGGAACCAAAGTTATTTTTTAAACCCTGATTAAAAATTCCTAAAACTCTGTTTTATTAGGTGTATATCTGTTTTGTAAAGAAATCTGTACTTATTCTAGACTTTTATAATGCTTGGCTTAGAAGTAGATGTAGCCAGTGGAAATTAGTCATAATTTTATAAGGACAAATAAAGATAAGACTTAAATTTTCATTTAAATCCTCAATAATATTAGGTGTAATTATTCATGTTACAAAGGGGCTCTTCACAAAAGTTTCTTCACAAAGTTCTTTTAACTTGAGTATTAATAGCCTGTGTTACAGCAGCCCAAAATGCCTGCTAACATATTCTTTCAGTAGTCTCATGGCGGTTGCTACTACCAGGGCCAGAGGTAAAATTACAAAGCACTTTAATTTTGTTTTCACTTGTCTATCACTTCTTATTTTTTTCTTCCCATAGTCCTCTTACACTTTCAAGATGTCTTTTCCTATCCTCTTCCACATGATTTCTAGGTACTAGAAATCCTCCTCCTTTGTACCTCTTACTTCCCCCACAAATGAAAATTTCCATTTCACATTGTAATTTTTCTCAGGCAAGAATAAAAACATTAAAGCCAATCATGTTATTTTATTAAAGTATTTCTCTGCAAGGTATGAAAGTGATGATTAGGCTTTCTAGAATAAGGCTACTATTGTGATATTCAATTCTGGTAATATTATCTCTTCCAGCTGTTGATTTAGGAAAAAAATAGTGGGTTGTAAGCAAATAGCTTAATAGCTTATAGATTTCTGCTTGACTAGAATTCTTAGTAATTTATGATTTAGAGATAGTAAAGAACAGTATGGCACAGTTCTTAAGTACTTGGACTATGGTTCCAGCTTGCCTGGGTTCAAATTCCAGCCTTCCTATTATGTGACCTTGAAAAGTATTATCTATACTCTTTCACTACTTGTAACTTTCGAGAGATACAACCATATAAGGTGGGTTTACCTTTGATATAATTCTCCTCTGATTAATATTTTTAGATTACATGTGAAAATGAAGTTATACAAACACAAATCCGTGCTGATAATCTATCTAATGATGTCACTTCAGTACCTACTCACTGTGAAGAAGGCCCAGTGCATAAAAGTACACAGATTTCTTGAAAAGGCCCCCTCACCATAGTGTGGGTATGTTTTGATTCTCCAGTTGATTGATCAATTGAATTGATCTTTTGTATATGAAAGATAAATGAAAAGCAAAGTCTAACTCGTAGGTAATTGTGTTTATTCTCTTTCAGGTGTTCAGGCCAAAGTGAAAGTGTTTGGAAAACAACTATGTAATGCATCTCCTCAGACTGGTGAATTGTGGCCTAGAACTTCCTCTCTCTTTGACATTTACTCCAGTGACTCAGAAACAGATGCAGACCAGGATATCAAGAGTGATCAGAGTGATTAATCTTATATAGCTGTGCAGGTGAAAGAAGAGATCTGTTAAAAACACAGCGTCAGATGACTTGATGTGCTATAAGTTTTCAAATCTTTGCTAACATAATTATCTCTTTGCTCTTGTATATCTTTCACTTCGAGATAATTTGACAGTTGAGTATCAGAAAATTTGTTTAGCTCTAAGACAAAAATTTGCCTGCTTGCCAAGATAATGAAGATAATCCTGCCCAAAACCTCCCCACCTCCCACTTTCACCTTCTTTTTCTTTTTATCTTTTTGGTGGAAATCAAGTTATAAAACAAAACTAAATAGCAACATTTCCAGATCAAGATTAAGCCTTGAATATTTAAGCTTAGTTCAGAAGCAACACTCATATGGGACTTATTTGACATTCACAAGTTACAATGCCACTCTCCTTCTAAATAATGTGAAGGTAAAGAGCAATAATAGTGAACAGAGCCAAGTCTGATACTATAAAATGATTTTGGGGTAAAGCCAAGACATTTACTCTTGATTATTATTTTCTGTGTTATTTGTTTATTGGTGTGTTCATTTGTAATACTATTAGATCTCTGGATCAGTCCCTGTGAGCATTTCTGGTGAAGCTATGGCTTTCACAGAAAATTTTCAAAGGGAATCAATTTAGAGTTAGAGTTTCGTATGGTTAGATTACCTCATTAATGAAATCTACTTGCATGAGTTCCTATTACAACAAATCAATTAGCTTGACTAATTTAGATTGAAATTATTGACATCATGCAAGAAAAGGTATTACATTTCTAACATATCCCCATTTCAGCGATTAGGTTTTCCTCTATCAATACCACTCTACTGAATTCTACGTTTGGGAAATAAGCATGTGAAACTTAGATGCCCCATCTGCCATTCACCAGGAAAATTTCTATGGCAACTTTGTACCTTGAAGTAATTTGTTACAATAGTTTCTAAGAAACTTACTATAACTCTGATCTTCTATGGAGAATAGTAAAAATAAAAGTCTATTTTACACCTCACATGTCTTGTTAGTTCTGCATGATTGGAAGAACTTGCATACGTTTTATCCTTGAAGGTTTAAATAATACACCAAAGTGATTTTCTTCAAAAACTAATTTCATGTCTGACTTAGTTTGAACAGTGTAATTCTAATAAAAAGATTAATAGAATTAAGTATTAATAGAAGTTGTGAGCCTGAACAATGATTATGTAAACAACAAAGCATTATTATTATTGCTGCTGCTTTGGCTATTTTATGTTTTAGGAGATGACTATTTTATGTTTTAAGAGAGCATTATGTTTTAAAATTAAGCATATAAATCTTCTGAAGCTAAATATGATCAGTAAGTACCTACTGTCCCTTGAGCTTTGAAACAGCCCATCTCCCTAATTCAAAATGTAATGAATGTTATCTGCCCATTCATCCCCAAATTTCACTCCCATGAGTTTACTTCATTTCCACATATTAAACAACTCTGACAGCCATAAGAGCACTTTATTAATTATTTTTTTTTCCTGTTCAGTTAGGGTTTTTTCTCTTACCAATTGAGAATTTATATTTGGTTTGTTGATTCACGTGATTTTATAGTATATTATATAATGTTTCACTACCTTAAAATAAAATAAAATACTGCCTTCATTTTAAGTTAAACATAAAGAACTTATAGTTTATATAATACTGTTGGCTTTTTACATAAGCATTTTCAATTATCTTAATTTGTTTTGGTGTCAGATGAGTTTAATGGAGGGAAAAAAAGTTAGATTTACTTCAACACCTCCCATATCATTCTTCATTTGTTTATTTATTAAGTACTTATTAAACATACTCTGTGCCAGACAACTGTTCTAGATACTAAGGATACATTGATGAACAAAACAGGCAAAGATTCTGCTATCTTGACACTTACCTTTTAGTAGGGAGCCAGACAATAAACAAGGAAATGAATTAATAATTTCAGATAGTGATTAGTGCTTTGAAGAAAATAAAGCAGAGCAAAATGTTAAAGCATAATTGAGGTGAAGGGAGGGTTTGCTCCTTTAGGTAGGGTAATCAGAGAAGAACTCTCTAAGGATGTGATATATGCTCAGAGACCTGAATGATCAAAAGGAGCAACTGTGTAATGATCTGAGGGAAGAGCATTGCAGATGGTAGGAACAGCAGGTGCTCTGGTATTTGAGCAACAGAAAGAAGGCTAGGGTGGCTGGAGATAATGAACTAGGCAGAGAATGATATGAGCTGTGATTGGAGTGGTGTACAGGACCAGAATGGGTAAAGCATTTGAGGTCACAATAAAAAAATTTACTTTATTCTACACAAATTTATTTTAAATGTATTCTATGGCTGGCCAGTATTTTTTTTTTATACTTAAGAAACTCAACTGGATATACACATAAAGCCATTGGACTTTAGGCAAGAAGGGAGATATGTTGAGTGTGTGAAAGTAAAGTTTGTTCAGTCAAAAATATTCCTCTATGAAGGTGACGTCAGCGTCATAGTGGGGTGAGCTCTTCCTTAAGTCTCTCCCCACTAAGACACAATGAAAAGGACATTCATAAACCAACAGAGGACATTTTCACAACACAATAGATGTCTGAGAGATCCACACAGCCACGTATCTGAAGTTGGAGGTGCTGAACCCCCCTGGAAGGCAGTGGAAGGAGGTAAGGGGTCTCCTCACCCTCCCCAGGAGCAGCAATCTGGGGCATAGGACCTTGTGTGTGGCCAGCATGTAAACCTGAGAGAAGAAGAGGGAAAAAGGCAGCCATCCATGGGAATGCTTGCACTCTTGGAGTTGCCTCCCAGCCTGTGGGAACATTCCACACCAAGGTGGCTAAGCAGTCACATGGATATCCACACCAAGCCAAACAGCCCAGGTGGGCAAACATTGAGTGCAGAGTGGAGGAGCTCAGGATCACACATGCAAAAGAAAGCACCCCTCTCTCCCACCTGGCACACCAGCTCAGCCAGTTGGCCAGAGCAGGGGATCCCCAACTGAGCACCTGCACCTATGTGTGTAAAGCAGCTGCAGCCAGTGAGAAAACGCAGACAAACCTTGTCAGCACAGCTTCCAATGGTCAGGCACATCTGCCAGAGGTCACAGAGGGCTCAAAAACACAGCTTCTGCCCCCATCCCAGTGGTGGCAGGTTAAATCTGCAACCAGATACTACGACTATGTGACAGCAAAAGTCCACCCCATCAAATAGCATGAAGAGGTATATTAACACTCCGTATCAGAAGGAAAATGACAAGTACCCAGAAATCAATCCTGAAGTCACAGAAACTTACAATCTAAGTGACAGAGAATTTAAAATAGTTATCATAAAGAAATTCTAGAAGTTACAAGGAAATTCGGAAAGACAGTTTAATGATCTCAGGAATATAATTAATGAACAGTGGGAATTCTTCACAAAAGAGGTTGAAACTATAAAAAAAAACCCAATCAGAAATGTTGGAGATGAAAGGCACAAAGAACAAGATAAAGAAAAAGCTGGAGTCCTTAAATAACAGAGCTGATATTATGGAGGACAAAATCAGTAATTTAGAGGACAGAAATATAGACATGCTGCAGATGGAGGAGTGAGAACTAACACTAAAAAGAAATGAAGAAATTCTCTGAGAAATATCTGACTCAATTAGGAAACGCAACATAAGGATTATAGGTATTCCAGAAGGAAAAGAGAGGGAGAAAGGAGCAAAGAGCTGTTCAAAGAAGTAATAGCCAAGAACTTCCCAACCTGGAGAATGAGCTGGAATTACATGCAAATGAAGGTAATAGAACTCCTAATTATATCAATGTAAAAAGACCTTCTCCAATGCGTATATTATTAAAAGTGGCAAAAGTCAATGACAAAGAAAAAATATTGAGGGCAGCAAAGCAGAAGAAAGTAACCTACAAAGGAACACCTCTCAGGCTTTCAGCAGATGTCTTGTCAGAAAACTTACAGGCTAGGATAGAGTGGAAAGATATTCAAAATTCTGAAAGACGAAAACTTTCAGTCAAAAATAGTCTATCCAGTGAAACTATCCTTCAGATATGTCGTAGAAATAAAAACTTTCCCAGATAAACAAAGGCTAAGGGAGTTCACTGCCACAAGACCTCCCCTACAAGAAATAATGAAGAAGACCCTCAAACCTGAAAAAAAAAGAAAAGAAAAGAAAGGGCTTACAAAGCCTTGAGCAAGGAGATAAATAGACAAAATCAGAAAATTGCAGCTTTCTATCAGAACTAGTTAGCAAATGCTTAATTATAACATTAAAGATGAAGGGAAGGAAAGCATCAAAAATAACTGTAATCACTTCATTTTAATCACAAACTCACAACACAAAAAGGAATAAGTTGTGACAACGATAACTTAGGGAAGAGGAAAGGGATGGAAACTGCTCAGACTAAGGAAATAAGTGTCTATCAGAAAATGGACTATCTCATCTGCAAGAGCTTTTACACAAACCTCACATAAGCACTAAACAAAAAATCAGAACAGAGACACAAATGATAAATAAAGGGAAAACTGAGAAAATCATCATAGAGAAATACCAAACTGAACTGGCAGTTGGAAATGCATGGGATGAGAAACAAGGGAAATACAGAACAACTAAAAAACAAGTGATAAAATAGCAGTATTAAGCCCTTATATACCAATAACCACTCTAAATGTAAATGGATTGAATTTCCCAATGAAAAGGCAAACAATGGTTGGATGGATTAAAAAACAAGACCCACCAATATGCTCCCTTGAGGAAACACATCTCAGCTCTAAACACAAACACAGGCTCAGAGTGAAGGGATGGAAGACAATACTGCAAGCTAATGGCAAACAAAAGAAGGCAGGTGTTGCCATACTTATACCAGACAAAGTAGACTTCAAGATAAAACAGGCAATGAGAGACAAAGAGGGGCAGTTTATAATGATAAAAGGGACACTCCACCAAGAGGACATAACACTTATGAATATATATGTACCTAACACAAGAGCACCAAAGGAAATAAAGGAACTATTAACAGACCTAAAAGGAGAAATTAATAGCAACACAATAAAAGTAGGGGACCTCAACACCACACTTACATCAATGAATAGATGATCCAGACAGAAAGTCAATAAGGAAATAGTGGAATTAAGCAAAAAACTAGACCAGATGGACTTAATGGATATATATAGAACACTCCATCCAAAATCAGCAGAATACACCT